CTTTCGGCTTGCCACACTAACGTCCTTTCGGCTTGCCACATTAACGTCGTTCCGGCTTGCCACATTAACTGGCGGCTGACTTGGGGAAGCCGCGGATGAATAATACAATCTTAATGGCCTAGTCTTTTGAAAGATGGGGTTTAGGCTACTAACAAAAAAAAGAATATTTTTGCCCAGGAAAAAGGATAAATTGTTTTTTTTTTCTTGTTTTTTTTTTTTCAAAATAGCAATGCATATTGTCACACTATGATGGCACATGGGGAGCAGGACACACACAAAACATGGAACAGAGTCTGACACATCAAGGCTGCACTTATTTGATTAGTTAAAACAGTAATATTGTTAAATATTATTCATTTAAAATATTGTCAAAAATATTAATTTCTAAAAAAAAAAAAAAAGAATAATACAATCTTAATGGCCTAGTCTTTTGAAAGATGGGGTTTAGGCTACTAACAAAAAAAAGAATATTTTTGCCCAGGAAAAAGGATAAATTGTTTTTTTTTTCTTGTTATTATTATTATTATTGTTATTATTATTACTATTATTATTATTATTATTATTATTATTATTACTATATAGAGTAAGCTGTCAAAATGGACCACTAAACTGCTTGTTACATGATTTAATCAAAATATAGGCAATACAACTGATATGAAACATAAAACAATCCATAAAACAAAAAATATGAAAGATAGCATACAAAAATATCACACTAGCCAGTGGAAATAATAAGTCAAGTCATGTCAAGTCACCTTTATTTATATAGTGCTTTTAACAATACAGATTGTGTCAAAGCAACTGTACAGCATTAATTAGGAAAATATTGTCAATAATGCAAAATGATAATAGTAAACACTCTATCAAGATATAACAAAAATATCTTGATGTGTCCTACCCTCAGCAAAGTTTTATTTATTTTTTCTTTGCTCTATGGTAAACAGAAGTTTGAAATGCCTGAACAATTGTATATTGTTTTAAAACATTCAATACCTCCCAAACTACAGGGAGTGGCGTTTTAGATGAACGTAATGTGCGACGCACTGTCCTCTAAATTAAACAAG